TCATCTGAAACAACATATACTTATCTATATAATTATAGGGTGGATTGAAAACATATTATGCGGGACCTTCTATCAGTGTGAAATGGGGCCAAGTGGACTTCCTGGATGCCCTTTTGTCTTTCGTTTTAAACGGACACCAAACTTGCTGGTTCTCAGTGAATGAGGGAATGCCCCCGAGCCCAAACGGTTCATTTGGAAAGAGTGAAGGAAATTCCGAACCAATAGGGCCAAGGATTTCCTGGAATGCCTGAAAGGGGAAGCCCACAACTTCGTGGTTTTCATGTTGGCTTCCCAAGAAAGCCATCCAAGGAAACTCTCTATTAGCTTCGCAACTTAACATGGAACCCAAAATGTCTCCTGAATTCGAGATTCCTTCAAAAGCCTATGGCTTTGTTGGGCTTCATGATTTGCAGGGCAGCCTCTCTGAGGTCTGCGGCCGCCGGCCTCCCACCTCGGGCCACAAGCCTCCCCGCGCCCTTCCGAAGCCGCCAGTGGAGCCTTACCCCGTGGAGGCAATGTGGCCGATAGGATGGCTTGGGCCTTCGGTGATTGGAGAGTACCCTTCTTAAGAAGTGGCTCTAAAGCGAAACCAAAAGGGAAAACACCATGTTTGGAGTCCACCTATTGTAACATGCACCCTTGAACTTTGTCTGTTTCTCTTGCAAGTGTTTTACTTGTTAAGGTTCACTCAATATGGATGAAGGTTTGAGTCTGATAGACCAAGGGGCAAACAGTGTCCTTTCACCCACAACCCAGTTGATCTCTCTCTTTGGAAGGTTTGGGTCACCAAAGGAAACCAGAAGATAAGATCTGGGCATTTTCTTTCAGATGTACAAGGGGCATGTCCAGAATTTCTCCTGGACTTGATTTCCGGATTCGCCAGGAACGGGCGCAGGCGCCGCAGCCGGTGCCGGAGCCGGTGCCGGAGCCAGGCGTGGGCCTGCTTCGCCTGGCACGGCGGCGGTTGGAAAGGGTCGCTACATTTCCCCTTTTTTGCGGTGTCAAGCATCACCTTGTTGGCCCATTTAAGATGAGTCTCCCTTCATGAATTGTCTCATGAATTGTCTCATGATCATGACTTAATTTGTGTTTAAAGTAGTTGTAAGCACTTTTAGTTGTAGGGCAGGCGGTAAAGTGAGTTGGTTGAGCTTTGCACGTGGGTGACTTTCCAATTGAACTGCTAACCATCAAATAGAGAATCCAGCGGTGTACCCCAGACATTGGCCCAGCCGGCCCCTCCCCACACTGTTCAACGAGGGGTTCAAGCCCCAACATCTTCGCCATGGCACCAGGCGTGTCCATCACCAGCGACTTCTTCCAGAAAGGTCTTCAGCATCTGGGCAGATTGTCTCGTGAGGGAGACCCCAAAAAGTACTGGGATTTCCTTAGAGTCCAACAAAAAGGGTACCCTCAACAAAAGACAAGCTCATTTGCAGCAGGGGGTGGAGCTGTCTCCGTTGTGACCAGTCAAGCTTTGCACGGGGCGCTACACAGTTATCTCTCTCTCTCTCTCTCTTTCTCTCTGCTGCGTCAATGTCCAAGCGAGCGGTGTTTTTGCGTATTTGTGCCAGTGCATTGACCCCGCTAGCTTCATGTTGCAATTTGATAGGGACCAGACGGAGATGGAGCAGGCATTTGAGGCAGGCTCGGACTTTTGGCAGGCCGCAGAACGAGTCAAAGGGGGGGAAGTGCCTTTTGATAGGCTCAGTTTCAAATACACTTTTTGGAAGAAAAGCCCCACTCGAATTGAGGACACATTTGGCCTGCTGCCCTGAACAAGCAGCGAGACTGGCGACTGAGGTGTGCGAATCTCAACTGCCCCTTTCTGGCGAGCTCCGACAAATGCGATGGCGGATTTTGTTGCAAGAAGTGCCATTGGCGCTTTGTAAGCCAAGCGCGAGGAGGTAACCCGGTTGCCCTGTGGCAGACTATTTTGCCTGGTTTTTGCTGGTTTCCCTTTAGACCCAAACGCCAAAAAGAAGGGCGGCCTTTCTGTCCCAAAGGTGGGCAAGTAAGGTAACAAGAAGCACAACGCCGGCTGCGGCAAAAAGTATCCCAGCCGCCTGGCCGGCCACAGAATTCAGCCCTTGCTTTTGTTTTGTCGCTTACTTTCTTTGGTTCATTTGGTAACTACAGCTTGTGTGTGTGTGTGCGTGTGCGTGTGTGTGCGCGTGCGCGCGCGCATGCGTGCGTGCGTGCGTGCGTGCGTGCGTGCGTGCGTGCGTGCGTGCGTGCGTGCGTGCGTGCGTGCGTGCGTGCGTGTGTGCGCGCCTGTGTGTGTGTGTGTGTGTGGGTGCGTGCGTGCGTGCGTGCGTGCACGCGTGTGTGGGTGGGTGTGTGTGTGTGTGTGTGTCCGCGTGTGTGTGTGTGTGTGTGTGTGTATATCCGCGTGTGTGTCCGCGTGTGTGTGTGCGTGTGTGGGTATCCACGTGTGTGTCCACGTGTGTGTCCACGTGTGTGTGTGTGTGTGGGTGTGCGTGTGTGTTAAGTGCATTTGTGCGTGTGCATTTGTGCGTGTGCGTTTGTGCGTGTGCATTTGTGCGTGTGCGTTTCTGCGCGTGTGCGCTTGCGCGTGTGCGTTTGTGCGTGTGCGTTTGAGCGGGTGCGTTTCTGTGCGTGTGCGTTTCTGCGCGTGTGCGCTTGCGCGTGTGCGTTTGTGCGTGTGCGTTTGTGCGTGTGCGTGCGTGCGTGCGTGCGTGCGTGCCTGCGTGCGTGCGTGCCTGCGTGCGTGCGTGCGTGCGTGCATGTGTGTGTGTGTGTGTGTGGGTGTGTGTCCGTGTGTGCGTGTGTGCGTGCGTGCGTGCGTGCGGGCGGGCGTGCGGGCGTGTGTGCGTGCAGGCGTGTGTGCGTGCGTGCGTGCGTGCGTGCGTGGCGGCGTGCGGGCGTGCGGGCGTGCGGGTGCGGGCGTGTGCGTGCGTGCGTGCGTGCGTGCGTGCGTGCGTGCGTGCGTGCGTGCGTGCGTGCGTGCGTGCGTGCGTGCGTGCGTGCGTGCGTGCGTGCGTGCGTGCGTGCGTGCGTGCGTGCGTGCGTGCGTGCGTGCGTGCGTGCGTGCGTGCGTGCGTGCGTGCGTGCGTGCGTGCGTGCGTGCGTGCGTGCGTGCGTGCGTGCGTGCGTGCGTGCGTGCGTGCGTGCGTGCGTGCGTGCGTGCGTGCGTGCGTGCGTGCGTGCGTGCGTGCGTGCGTGCGTGCGTGCGTGCGTGCGTGCGTGCGTGCGTGTGTGTGTGTGTGTGTGTGTGTGTGTGTGTGTGTGTGTGTGTGTGTGTGTGTGTGTGTGTGTGTGTGTGTGTGTGTGTGTGTGTGTGTGTGTGTGTGTGTGTGTGTGTGTGTGTGTGTGTGTGTGTGTGTGTGTGTGTGTGTGTGTGTGTGTGTGTGTGTGTGTGTGTGTGTGTGTGTGTGTGTGTGTGTCTGTGTCTGTGTGTGTGTCTGTGTGTCTGTGTGTCTGTGTGTCTGTGTGTCTGTGTGTCTGTGTGTGGGTGTGTGGGTGTGTGGGTTTGTGGGTGGGTGGGTGGGTGGGTGGGTCGGTGGGTGGGTGGGTCGGTGGGTGGGTGGGTGGATGGATGGGTGGGTGGGTGGGTGGGTGGGTAGGCAGGTGGGTGTTTGTGTGTTTGGTTGTGTATTTGTGTAGTTGTGTTTGTGTATGTTGGTGCGTTTTTGGAGGGTACCGCAGCTTGGTCTAAAGTCGCCAGGTACACCGACAGGAATTTCTAGCATTGCCTGCCCATTATGACACAGAATTACTAAGTGTGTGGTTTGTTTCGAAAGAGCCAAGGTTCCAGTAGCACGCCGCGGGCGCCTCCTCTGCCCCCTGATGATCCCTACCCCCTTCAAGCGAGCTGAGAAAGGACTTGTATATTGCGACGAATGCCGTGCCCCAGTGACCGGAGCGAAGTGGCAACTCCGATGCTCCTTGTTTTGGCTGATGGATGCATCGCCGATATGGGCAGGGCGCATAAGACTCAGGCTTTCTCTTTCTTCGCGCTGCGGCTTGGAAGCCAGGCAGCCACACTATGCGCGCCGCTCCCCCCCCTGCTTGGGGAAGCGTGTGACATCTTCCGGATGAACGAGGTGATGCAGAGCAGCCGAAGTGCCGAGTCCGGGAGATGAGCAAGCCGCAGGGAAAACAGCTGAGCCAGCGTCTGGTTGCCAGGAATAAGCTTCAACCTCTATGTGGGACCCTTCTGAAATGTTGCGCTGCTTTCAAGAAGAGTCGTACTTTTGTCAACGCTCATTTTGGCCCTCAACCTGAGTAGAGGTCGGACAAAGTTTGCTATTGCAAGTGATTATTTGTAATGGGGCATCACTGCAAACCTGCAACATGTTGGTGCAAAGTCTCCAGACTCCAGCTCATCAGTTGGTTTTGACTATCAGATTATCAGGCTGGTTTGTTTGAGGGGATTGGTGGCTGCATTGTTTTGGCGTAAATGATTGAGCACGTTTTCGAGCAAATCACCTGTCAAGGAAATTATAAGGAACAACCAGAAAATACCCTGAATCTCAGAGAAATGAAATGATCCCAGTTTTGTTTCAAGTGCCTGTAGAGGCCCCTCCAGGGTGCACCCCAAATAAGGGACACATGAGGAGTAGAGAAGCCTTAAACAAGGCTTAAGTGTTTGTCACATCTTTGCTTTGGGTCTGAAAGGTCCGCGAATACGGGTGTGTGTCATTTGATGAGAATTTGTGTTTGTAAGGGAAACCATGGACAAACCACGTTCCCCCCAACTTGATACAACCCCATGTCTTTGATTCAAAGCTCGTCTGCCCTGTTCTGGGCCGTCCATTTGAACCTCTTTGCACATTGCTTCAGGTGATTTCTTATGCACCCAATGCGCGGCGCCCAGTCAAGGCATTCCGATGGCGACCCTGCCCACCCCTTCCCCACATTACACGGCGATTTGGGAGCCACCCCCCTGCAGTCTCCCGAAGCAGATTGAGGACCTTTCAAGCCAAGCTTCGGAAAATTGAGGAATCAGAGGCACACAAGGCAACTTCCTGTTTTGCGGGGGCTCCATGTGACCAAGGCGCCCGGGACCCAAAGTGGAAAGGCCTACTTTGGCCACAATTGCCTTTACCTGTAGGGCCCGTGGTGGCGTTGTTTGCCAAGAGTTGGACCACATTGTCAGACAGCTGCCAAGCGGGCAAAGTGCAAATCGTAAGGTTTTGGAATGTTCATAAATCCTTGGCCTGCATTGGCAGTATCACCGCAATTGATGGCAGTAACAACCGCCTGCCTACATTTCCGTTGTTACTGCGCAGTCTCAGAATCAATCCTTGGCGCTTGTATGACCTGATGCTTACGACTCAAAATTAGACATGCTGCCCTGAGGTAATGTATATTGCGGTGTTCGCCTCAAACCTATCGGAGCGTCGCATTGCTCCGCGTTGTTCCAAATAGTATTCAGTAACGCTTTGCATTTGGAACGATGGTGAAGTAAGCCTAAGTAAGCAATATCCGTCTTTGTTCAGTTTTGACGCATGGGCTAGAGCTTTCCTTTTGTGTGTTCCTTCCCGGCAAAGGCCTCTGAAAAGGAGATTCCTTTTGGAGATGATCTTTGTTCGAGTTTTATGTAAATCTGACTGCAAGTGCGTGGCAGCCCATTCCGCTACATGAGTTGTGGTGCCAGATGTTTGCGCAGCAACTAGGTTGTTCACAGAGAAGGGGGTTCTAGCGCGATTAAACATTAATATGGGGCCTTCATAAGCCATCATCACCTTCTTGGTTGCACCAACAGTACAGAGTGTTGCATGTGTTTGAGATTGGTTTGGATGGTTTTGCATGGTGTTGTGTGCGGCGTTGCATGGTTGTGCATGGTGTTCGATTGTTGTTGGGTGGCTTTGCTTGCAGCTCAATTGGACTTGGCGACCCAGGACAATAATGACAATCCAAGCCCGGTGACGCCTGGACGCCTGGTCATCGCATCGCAGACGGTAGGGAGAGGTTGTGGTTCGCAACCCCCCAGATCAAGTCAATTTCAGTCTCGGACTCTTCTTTTGGACTCTTTGCAGGCCCGTAATTGTGACGTGTTTTCGTGTACGGATATTGCACTCAGGGGATTGCCCTCTCTGAAAGACCTCATCCTCATCTAAGGGCTCTGGGAGACTCCAGGAAGACGTCAATGCTACATGCTGGTCCTGATGCAAGGGTTGCACAGCAAACAAGACAAGGCCATGTTGCCATAGGGTGAGTGTCCTGCAAGTTGCTCAAAACGTCACTTCCCCCAAGTTTCTAGACTTGATACTTTTGGGAAGACAGTTTAGGTGTAAATAGAAAGTTTTGACACTTGAAAAAGTTTACTCATGAAGTGTGACACAGCTGCTGGTAACACGGCATATGTGTTCAGAATTGGTGGTAAATGTTTTACGTTTGGTTTCCAGCAGAACCAATAGTGGATCTGAGTTCATAGGATCCTGACCCTGCTCCTTTAGCTTCCCAACAAAAGGATTAGTTAAGGTTTCATGTTGGTTTGGGATCAGAGTTTGAGGCCAGAGACTTGTAAGAACACTTTTAACTTGTGTGCGTGGGTTTATCATTCTCGTCATGGTCCAAAAGTTTTGCCCTCCAAACATCGAACCTGGAAAGTGGGTTCCTGTCAGTTCCACGAAGTTCCTTTCAGGTTCCATGTGTTTGGAAAGGTAGCTTTTGCTGGCCTTTCGCCAACTCAGCAGGTCTCGGGTTTGCCTCCAACTTGAGCCGCATCGGGCTCAGGAGCTTTGTCAGCGGGCAGGACAACAAAGCGACAGTGGGGTGGCTTAGAACCAAACACCGCGTGGGCGAGCCAAGACAAACCCAGTTCCCTGCAAATTGGACAGGCAAACCTTCATGCTCTGTGCTTGCCACGGGAAACGTACCCGCTCATTTGGCAAATTGAAGAGTTCTTGCTCGTTTTAGTAAAGGCCCAAGAAGCTTGAACCTTCATCTTCAGTCAATTGAGCAGGCGAGGAAAGCCAGCGTCTTCTCAATCATGCTGGCCCCTGGCTAGTGGAAAAACATTGAGGGTGAACAGACTTGCTCATTTCTTCAGAAAGACAATTTTGGAGAAAGCACTCACTGGTTGCAAGTAAATTGCATTTGCGAGTAAGACACGTTCAGAGGCGGCGTTCAGCTTGCTTGCAGCTAGCTTTGGGATGTTTGGGGCAATTTCATGGTGCACACTTGTACCATGGTCAAGAGACGTTGATCGTGAACCCTTTAGTGCGGAGTTTAGACGACCATCGTAAGATGTCCTATGTAGGGAGTCACAACATGTCTCACATAGGGAGTTCTGAACATGGCACATTTGGCTAGTATGATCCGCTTTGGAAGTCAGATCGGTTCCTAACATCACAGGTCCAATGACGGCTCCGAAGGGTTTGTTGTCCTTGTGGGACCATGCAGAAAGGGTTCTCGTCCAAAATTATTGACTTTTCTTGCAGGTGGGGTCTTAGGATGGGGGCTCCCCAACATGATGGATTGTAATTATTTGAACCAAAAAGGCGCTCTCACAAAAAGCAACAACAAAAACTAATATGCCAAGCGTCTCCCCAGAAAGAAGACGACGGCGAAAGGACAACTGGGCTGAGAAACAGGAGCCCCGAAGCTTGCCAGTGGCAATCTCGACTTGCCAGTGGCAATCTGGCAACAATGAATAAGGAGTTTTGTCCGTGGGTTGGTCTCTATGGGGAATCCAATTTAGTGGTTTATCTTTTCTTGGCAACTCGTTCACATGTAGACGAGTTTCACCAGGGCACCATAGGGCACCGATTGTGTCAAAACCCACAGCTTGCAATAAGTAAATGGGTTAGTGGAAGGACCTGGCTTTATCCTGCAAAATGGTATACTTGTTTAGGTGGGCAAAATTAGGCCAAACAGACTTTGGCGCTCGAACCCAAAAAGGGGGGGGGGTAGCCCAATTAATCATCGGGCAACAACCACCTGAAAAGCGGCAACTTTGACGAGGATGAAATCAACAAGCCCCAACGTGTCCCTGATGCTTCATACTTGGTTTGGGCTTCCGTTTAGTTCGATTTGGTTCCCGACTCAACATGAACAGGAGGTACCTGATCGGTTCTGGTTTCCCTTTCTTGGTGGTTTTCTGCCATAGTCTTTGACTTCAAGTTGTATTGACATCAAATGACATATACATATTTATTATATGTTATATGCCACAAAAAGTTGAACTGTGATCGGGGAATCTACGAGCCACTGAGCTTTGCTTTGCTCAAGTGGCCAGAGTTGCAACTTGACAGTCCGATCGAAGGTCCTGACTTATCGCAGAAGTCTGCAAGAGACTCCATCACGTAAGTCGTTGGCGAGGGGGATGGCTTATTCCCTCAGACAAGGGAACCCGTCAAAATGTGCTTTCCCTTTCAAAACAGCCCCACAAAGGGGATCGACAGAAGAGACTCGGAAGTTATGTTTGACGGAGGTATGTAAGTTTGCTTGCATGTCTTCTTTTAGGCCCTACTGCCTTTTGAGACACGCCATGTCACTTAAAGATTCCTTTCTTGTAGCATTTGTGTATTCAGAGAGGACCTCTCGATTGGATGCCGCGGATGCACCAGTGGGTTGAATATGGCCCTGCTGCTTTGGAAGTGATCGTGTTAAGACGATCAGTGGAAAGTGTTGGGAATGTCTGGAACCAATCACTCTGGAGGTTGATACTCATTGGGCCCATTTCAGGCTTGCTCAAAACCCCGTCTTTGGAGCTTTCTGTGTAAGCTCTTTCGGGAAGAATGCGGGGGAGGCTGTGATGTTTTGAGAAAGAACAAAAAACACGCGCTGAGGTGGTGACCCCAGATCAGCGCCGTCACGTAGGACCCGTCTCGTCCGATGTCGAACCCGTGGGATGGGGGTGGGTCGA